TCGAATCCAGCCCGGACCCGCCAAACAACAATAATGGCTGCAACCAAAAAAATAGCTGGGCGTGGTGGCGGGCACCTGTGGTCTCAGCTACTTGGGAGGCTGAGGCAGGAGACTCGCTTGAGCCCAGGAGTTGGAGGTTGCTGTGAGCAGTAAAGCCATAGCACTCTACCCAGGGGAACAGCTTGAGGCTCTGTCTCAAAAAAAAAAAAAAAAAAAAAAAATTACACAAATAATTATTGGCTATCGAACCCTAAGATAATGTCAATTTCTTAAAAAGTTTATTATAGAAAATTTTAAACATATGCAAAATAGAGAATCTATAACCCCATATGTCCAATTTTGTGTCTCCTTTTACCCCACATCCTGGATTAATTTGAAACAGTTCTCAGACATTAAATCTAAAATGTATAGACTTTTTTTTTTTTTACATAACCTCTTAATAGTGAACAGTATGCAGTGTTCATATTTCTCCACTTGCCTCCTAAGTGTTTTGTACTGCTGATTTGGTCACTGTGGGATCCACATAAGGTTCACATGCTATCTTTGATGCATCTCTTAAATCTCTTTTAATCTGTAGTTCCCCCAACCCTTTCCTAAAATTTTATTTGTTAGATAAACCAGATTGACTGTTCTATAGGGTTTTTCACACCTCACTTTTGCAGCCTGCGTCTTGCAGTGTCATCACTAAGTGTGTCTCTTTGGCCCCCTGTGTTTCTTATAAACTGGAACTTAGATGGAGAAACCGGTGGGATGCTGGGTTCCAGATCACTTTTCATGGTGGTGCTACCTCATAGCTGACGTCATGCATCACAGGAGGAGGCATATAATGTCTGCTTATCTCTCTTTGTATAAGATTGAAATTCTGAGGAAGGCAATATCGATTTTAAGAGGTACCATTAATTATAGATATGACTTTTGTAAGGGAAAAAAATGAAATCGTACCTTTAAAGTACAGTACATTGCAACATATGGAAATGTTCATCCTAGTTCTAAAAATAGTGCAGTATAAAAAAGGTATGTCGTAGAATCAAGAAAGCCTAATCATTACCTGCGGTTGCAATGTGCATAAAGGAATAGGTACTATAAGAACGTATAAAAGGGACCTAACCTAACCTGGGAGATTAGAGGAGGCTTGCAGAAGAGCTTATGTTTAAGATGACAACTTGAAAATGAGTGGGAGTTGGCTGTTTTACAGGTGGAGGTGAAGCATGGATAAAGGCCCTGATGGGGCAGCAGGGAACTGGGGCCAAAGCTGAAAGATCACAGGGTTATGTGAGACCGAGAGCCATGCCTGGCGGGGGGAGGGGATGGGGGGGGGCGGGGTGCTGCCGGGCTGGGCTCACTGGGATGGGAGGTTCAGTGTTCTTCTAAGTGTAATAAAAAGCCATCCAAGGTTCATAAGCAGGGAACTACATGGTCTTTGTTGATGTTTTAAGAGTTAATCAAAACTCTCTTTTCTAGCTGAGTTTAGAAAAAAAGGTGAAAATACATTAGAACCTCTGTAAGTCGACCACTCAAGGGACTATAAAAAACTGGTGAACGAAGGTGGTCAACATGAGGAACTAGGCCTTCTATACTGTTAAGTACACGTGGTGCATGTCCGGTCCATGCAAAGTAGGTCAACTAACGAAGGTGGTCATTGTAGAGAGATAGTGAACTATGGAGAGTGTATCTCCCTGTAGAAACTAGGAGAGCAGATGGCTTTAGCCCTGGGTTCAATTAGGCAGGCTTGGCCTCTCCTGGCCCATTGGACAGCCTCAAGCTTCTTCCACAAGGCAGGGCCTGATGCACAGAAATTTCTGTGTGGATGAGGGAACAGACAAGTACCTGTGCTATCTGAGGCAAATAATTTCCAAAGGGACCAAAAAAGGTTGGAGCTCATTCTTCTTCCAAAGTTAGCAACTCCCCAGAGAAGAGTGAGAGAGTGGGCTGGAGGCCTGGAGTGTGCAGTGTAGAGATCCTGCACGGGGAGGGCGTTTTACCCACCTGCTTTCCTGCCATGCACACAGCCTGGAGTGTGCAGTGTAGAG